TTTAATTTTATATTTATTAAAAATAGATGTGATAATTTAATTTTTAGCAAATTAGGCTAATTTTATATATAATAATTAAATTTTTAGCAAATTTACTTAATTTTAGAGGTAGCAAAAACCTTTAAATTTATACAGATCAATTATAATCTATATTAAAGATATCGGGGTTCTAATTTGCTTGTGACAAATATTAGAAGCACTTCACTAATAGAAGCTCAATTGTTTTGAATTTTTCTTGCATCTCTGTCAAGATTTTTTCTACTTCAAAATCTTTTTCTTTTATTTCAGCTTGTTTACTCTTTCTCTTATCTAATTCTATATTATTTGAGCCTGTTACTATTGCTTTCTCTGAATAATTTTGTTTGTTCGATTTTAAGTTTTCTATTATGCTAAGTGGCTTTCTAGTATTACTATGTAATCTAGAGCTAGTACTAAATCTATTGTTATATCTAATATTACTAGTACTACTAGAATTACTTCTTGATCTCTTTACTTTAGACCCTTGGTTGTTATATCTCTTTTGTTGCTTTGGGTAAATATTGTAGCTATCTGTACTCTTCTCTCTAAATTCAAATTTATTTTGATTTTCTTTATTATATATACTTCTAAATGTCTTATAACTTTTTTCTTTATCTTATTCTATCATACTATTATAGTAATTTAGTGTTGAGGCTTTAGCTATTTGTAGGTTTCTTAACAATACGAAATATACGAAGGTGGTACTTTTTTGTTTTCTATTACTATTTCTAGAAATATACATCATTTTTGCTCTAAAAATTTTAAGCTGCCAAAGTAAAGCTGCTTCACATACTGAGTAAAGAATTTGTCTTAAGATTATTCTAAATTCTTTTCTATTTTCTAGTTCTTTTTTGTCAAATTTCCCTACTGAAAGTCTACTTGTTTTTCTTTTTTTCAAAAAGAAGTGCTTATATTTTTTGTAGTAATTGTTTTTCTCCTTATTTTTACATACAATCCTTATATATGTAGCTTTTAACTTTTTTGCTATATGCTATTTGAGTATTTCTGTTATACCATGATATTTTAGATATCTAATTACTTTTGTAGTATTTGTCAAAAACAGGTAATTTCAAATGATTAAGTATAATTTAAACTCTTTTTTCTTTTTATTATAGCAGTTCTCTATTTTATTTACTACTATATCATTATATACTGATTTGTATTTTGAAGCCCAAATAAAGCTATGAATATCTTCTTTTTTTTGTTTATCTATCTCTTTATTATTTTCGCTTAAAAGCTTCTTTTTTTTGCTTAAAGTGATCCATTTTTTTAACTTCTCTTGTATTACATTATAATTTATATGTCTATATTCTGTATATAGTAGAGTTGCTTTTTCTTTCATATTTGCTGTATTATCTTCTTTTAAAATTTCTATTTCGCTTTTGTTTAGATTCATCTCTGCTAGTCTAATTCTAATAGATTTTTCTTCTTTATTCTGATATTTTAGTTTCTCTATATTATCATCTTTCTCTCTTTTTCTCTTTAAATTTTTTGCTTTTTGTATTATTTCATTTATATCTGTATCTACATATATATTTTTTGAGAATGCTTGGTTATTTTGTACTTGTGCTGCTTTTTTTGCTTTTGTACATGTTAATATTTCTGTTACTTCTCTTAAAAAGACAAGTTTTTTTGTTGATAATGCTTTATCTAGACTTTTCTATATTGGCAGCCAACTATAGCAATCTATTATACTTTGAATTGTTACTATAATTTCTAAATCTTTATATTCAAGATATTTTGCTATGTTTACATCTGTTTTGAGCATAATCCTTCTTTGTTCAATATAAATTTTTTGTATTTCTTCTTTCAATACTATTGCTAAATTTTTAAATCTGTCTATATTCATGCTTTTACTATCTATCTACTTGTAAAAATTTAGTTTTTATTGTTCTGACTCTTCTAGAATATTTACTTCTAAGTTGAACAATGCACTATTATAACAAAATATTTTTATTAAATATTTATTAAAATATAAATTATATTAAATATTTGATAAAATTTAATAATTGCTTTTTATTTGAATTTTATTAATCTATAAAATAATTATTAAAATTTCTTTAATTAAAGTTTTAAAAGTATAAATAAAAAAATTTCTATTTGTATATTATATATAGTATATTTACTACTATATGTACTGTAAATACTGTATATTGATATCAAAGTTCTATATAAATACTAAAATATAAAACAGCTTTAGATATTTTAATAAAAATATTTTAATACAGTACAGTATAAACTATAGCTTTTTCAACTCTAAAGCTAACTCTTACTCTAATCTTAAACGGGTAATTTTTTTATCTTATAATTTATACAGTATATTACATATTTGTATATAAATATACTATATCTGATATATTTCGTGATTTTTTACAGGGGAGTTAGGGTTAGGTTAGCCATACTACTGGTTAGTAGGAGCTATAGTAAAATTGTTAGCTGGGCTTAGCGAACGACTATGCATATTGGCGGATTTGTGGAATTTGATAAAATAGATGAGCCGTAACTCTGGTCAAATTCACGGCAGCTTTAATTTCAACCTGGCCAAATGATCTGCAAATTTGACTAGAGCTACGGTTTTTTAGTGGTCTGGGCAAAATTGATCAATTCTGGCCAATCCGATGTATTCCGACCCAGAATTTTGGGATCGCTAATAAAATTTCAACTCATGCAGGGCAATTCCTGGTCGGAATGTGGTCGGATGGGCCAGAATTGACGATTTTGCCCAATATCACTGAAAACTAATAAAATCATAGTCGTTCATTAAGTAAAAAAGTGCCCAGCTGATAATTTTACTATAGCTATAGCTAACTTAACCCTAACGCCAATGCATTCCGACCAGGAATTTCGAGGATTGCCCTGTAAAAAATTAATATATTCTATAAATAATCTATATAAATTTAAATAAATAGTTACGTATTAAGAAATATATACACTGTATTATTGTTTAATTTAAAATAATTTAAAGAAAATTTTAACGCTTACCAGAAGTGAAAGTAAAAATGGCAGCACCCTAAAAAATCCTAATCTCGAACTATAGTTTAAGCCTTAATCCTAACCCTAAAGCTTAACTTTAACTTTTAAAATTTTCTATAGATCTCATAACATTCAAAAACATATATATAGTGGTGAATTTCACCCCCGGTGAGTAATTTATAATTTATATACTACAGTAAATATAAATTATATTTTTGAAATAATTTTTACCGCCCTAAGAATTTTTAGGGCTAGAGTTTTATGCGTATAACAATGTAGATTTCATATAAGGTCCCGATTTCAGTTCTCGTGAGGTTTTCGAGGGACCTGAACATTTTTACTTAGAATACCCGGTCCCATTTACTTAGTATGTTTCTGATATGTAGCACCCGGTGAATTTTCACCTCCATTTTTCTTTTATTATTACTGTATTATCCACAATTTATATGTATTAAAAATTTTTATTTACTTTTTAAATATAATAATTGTTTTTCAAATACGTACGTACAGTACGTACGTATAATATTTTTGCAAAACAATAACCTATTTTAGTCAAGATTTTGTCTACGTACAACGACTTTTTCACTTATAAAGATTTTTGAAAAAAATAAGATGTGAGACAGATATTGTATGTATCGTAAAAAATCAAATGATAATCAACCTTAATTTAATATTTTTTTTATATTAAAAAAATTTCTCGAAGATTTGAATACAAGTTTGTAAACCCGTTATATATGAAACATTCCGTATGAACTTATCTATGTAAGTACAAAACAGATGATTTTTTAGAATATATAGTCTAAATAATGAAACAATTAATTAGGCTAATTAAAGTTTTTACATGTTTAAAAACTGGATTGTTAACAAATGAAAAATTTAGTATATTATTATATAAAATCATAGAAAATCTTTTGATACGTATTACTAATCAAAATTTTAACTGTCAAGAAATCGACAAATTTGGCGAGGGCTGTACTTACGTACCGGTACTATACCTGATACACATGTATTTAAAGCCAAATTTATTAATCATGAATACAAGTAACTGAATAATGGGGTCTATATAAGAAGCCTAATATTTTTTTTTTGTGTGGGAATAATTCTTTTTTTAATCAAATACGTAACAATTCAATATGACGACAGGAAATTATGACGTTGTTCGTGACGATATTAAATCAATCCTTTCACAACCAGGATATGATGATGGATCTATTGGGCCAGTTCTTGTACGGTTAGCTTGGCATGCGTCTGGAACTTATGATAAAGTAACAAAAACAGGCGGTTCAGATGGAGCCACCATGAGATATGCAATTGAAGCCAATGATCCCGCTAATGCAGGATTAGCATACGCGAGAGATTTCCTGGAACCTATAAAAGAAAAACATCCGTGGATTTCTTGTAAGTTTTAAAATTCAAAGAATATAAATATAATATATATAATATATAATATACGTATATAATATGATAAAAAATTTTCAACAAATCAGATGGAGATCTTTGGACACTTGCAGGAGTGGTTTCCATTGAAGCGATGGGAGGACCGATCGTCCCATGGAAACCAGGACGTAAAGATAAATTAGAATCAGCAGTACCGCCAAACGGACGTCTCCCCGATGCAGAGAAAGGAGCAGATCATATCCGAGAAGTATTTTATCGTATGGGATTCACAGATCGGTAAAAAAATATATTATTTTTTTTTAAATAAATGATTGATTAACATAAATAAAGTTTAATGATAATTAGAAAATAAAGTTTAATTAATAATGATAATTATAAAATTTTTTTTAAAAAATTATTAATTATTTAGTGAAATTGTTGCATTAATCGGAGCTCATTGCCTTGGACGTTGCCATGGTACAGTATAATCAAATAATATAATTACAAAAAATATAGTAAATAAAATTTTAATTGTGTAAAATAGGGGATCGCTCTGGTTACGAAGGAGCATGGACATACACACCTATACGATTTAACAACCAATTGTAGGTATCTTAAAAGTATTATATAAAATTAATAATTTTAAGTACTTAATTAATTTACCAGAAAATTCAAATTCACATAGTTACGTAATGTTGACAAAACAAAATTGGCACGAGAAAAAATTAGACAATGGGCTCATCCAATATGCGGATGATAAGGATAAACTAATGATGCTTCCTGCAGATATGGCGTTTCTTCATGATCCACAATTTAAGGAAGTAGTTCAAATTTATGCAAAAGATAAACAAACATTCTTTAACGATTTTGCAGCAGCTTTTGGAAAATTAATAGAACTCGGGGTTAATCGTGAAGAGGAAGAATCAAAGTTGTAAATATTTAAAAAGATTTGTAGTTATGTTATCAAAAGTTGGTCTTTGTCTTTCCCATCTTACGATTTATTATGACGAATGAATTATTTGTATATATATCACATTTATCATATATCGTGTATCAGTTTTAGCCCTATACTGATATATTATTATTAAATTTTATAAGAATTTTGTGACAATATGTGTGAATTTTTCATTTTTGAAATCAAGAGATAAGAGATAAGAGATAAGAGATACGAGAGATAACAAAGAACATACCGATAATCCGATAATAATTCAAACAATAATTCAATTAAAATAACTCAAACAATATTCGATTAATAATTCAAGTAGTGATTCAAGTAATTATTCAGGTAATATAATTCAAGTAATATAATTCAAGTAATAATTCAGGCAATAATTCAAGCAATAGTGGCTTTTGCTTTACGAATTTTCTTTTTTCGATCAGTTTTTTTCTTTTCCTTCTTTTCTCTTTTTTTCATAGAATCCATGTGAACTTTTAGGATATTACTATACGCGGTGTAAAATTTGTCTGAATCTGATGGATTAACCTTATTTATAAAATAAATATGGTATTTTTTTGATTTATATATATGAAAATATTCGGATCGTGAACTTCAAAAGGTTTAATTATATAATAATTTACCACCGTTTGAATCTTATTCTTCCCACAAGTGGCACGAATCACCAATGGATATTCCTTATCATCACCTTTTTTTTCCAATTCTTTACTTTTTAGCTCTTTTGCAACTTCAACATTGCGTAATTTCTTTGGTTGCCAAGTATCTAAAATAAGATGAAATTGTATATTTGAAAAATTATTTATTATTATTATAATTATTAAAAAAAAAAAAAAATTTACGTCTTTTCGTGGTTAGGAAAATTTTTTTTGTAGTTGATTTTACATTTTCAAAGAGTCGGGTAAGTTGAGTAAGGAACTTTATTATTATAATAAAGTATCCATTTATTCATGAATTAACAAAATGTTTGAAATATAATAGTCTAAAATTTTTAATTTATTAAATCTCAATTACATATCATACCGCATCGTTATCTAATAACATTTTTCAAAGGTTAAAAAAGTTAAAAAAAAATTTTCACAGTAATACAAATTTATCATTCAATTGTGTAAATAACGTAATCAAAAAGCCAATCATATTGTATCAAAGTTTACATGAATTACTGGGGATCAAAAACAAATAATAATAACAAAGGGGCTCCTCATCAAGTAAATCAAGTAAATGCCTTATCGTTATTATATATATACGTACGTATAAGAAATTGTTTTCTGATTAGGATAGATTTTAGCCTTGATTTCGGTTTCAACCGTTTAAATCATCTAAATTATCTAAATTATCTCTTTATCGTTGTCATCATGTTATCATTATCAATTCATTTTATCGTAAGGATTATAAAATGTGGTTTAAAGTACCCCCTGTACAATAGAAGATATGCAGGGTGATGATGACCTGTGGGATGATCAGTAGAATATAGAATGACCTGTAAAATTACCTGTAAAAAAAACCTCATATCATAGCCATATCGATATCATATCTATATCATATCAATATCATCGACATTGTATAGCATAGTAGTACAAAAAAAATTACCGTTGAACACTGCATATAACTTATGTGGTAGGGTATTTATTTTTAGTATGTAATATAAATTTTTGCACCATTGTGATTATAAAGATTATACGTATAATTAAAAAAAATGTCAGTGAACGTTTTACAATAAACAGGTGAACGTTTTACAATAAACAGGTGAACGTTATACGAGTACGTTATACGAGTACGTTTTAGACTTGATTTACCGTTATTAATAATAATCGGAAGAAGGGTTTAGAACGTTTTAATCTATATCGATAAAAATTGATAATTTCATCTCTGTATAACGGGTCCCATGACTGGTAATAATATCTTTAATTATTATTATTCACGCTATTGCAATGTGATTTTTATTCGGTTTTTAGATTTTCCATTCTCGTCATAGCGTTGATCTAGTTAAAAACAATATAATATATATATATATATATATATATATATGTTTAATATATATTTTATTATTAATATTTATTTAATAATGTACATGCTTGCTTACATTACGTAGGAAAATAAATATTGATACCGGTATGTTAAATTTTTTTTTGCTCCGTGTCGATTATCAATGAACATCCGTTATTTTAAATTTACTTGATATTAAAGATAGTTGCATTTAAATGCGAATTTGGTCCATTATTTAGTCTATCAGAATGTCAAACGTTGCATAATTATCATGAAAAGCTGCTTCGATTGCAGGCCTTATAAAAAAAGCTGGTTGGACTTTCTATGTATTACCAATTCGTGATTATTTGTCTTCTGCTTTAAAGTTTCGATTTTTTACATTATCCAAGGTTTCAACTTGAAATTTTTGTTTCGTCATTTTATTCATATTTATCATAGTGAGTTGTGCTCCCAAATTATTCATTAATACAGGTTGATTTACTTTTTTATAGTATTCCCCTCGTGTAATCGTGCTCTTTCTAACGCATAGAATAACTCTCGCATTAGGTGTAAAAAAAAGGAATTTTTTTTTCTAGTTAATTGTTTTAAATATTTGTTTTTTTTTTCTTTTTTTTTTTTTTTTATAGTTTATAGATTTTTTATAGTTTCATAGTTTCATCAAATCTGGAAAAAAAAAAAAAACAAAAAAAAAAAAATTAAAGTAGTGCAAAAGAACGGCTCTTTTGCCATTTCTTCCCACTTCCCTTTATTTTTTTTTTTATTCATAGAATCAAAAAACCTTTAACAATCATTTAGAAAAAAACGATTTTAAGATTCTCCATTTATATCTTAACTAAATAATGTCTACCGGTACGTCTATACCGTCCATGGAAATGTCGCGAGACTCTTCACTAATAGAAACACTCGAGAATGAAGAACCAGGACGGTGTTATACTAGTAGTGATAGTCCAAGTGGAATTCCTGTTACTGAGCCCAGTGAAAGTACACCAGACCAATTACAACAGCCACAGCAATTACAGTCTCAGTCACAATCACAGCCACTGGTAAAAGAGCAACCGGTCGACCAACAGCAGCGTATGTCTCCAAAAAAACCTTCTCATGCTAAAAAGTTGGTAGATAAGTTTGCCACGTTTTCTCCAATGAGGAATAAAGGATCCGATCGACAATTAATAGTCGAAACTTATAGCAACTATAACGGAAAGAAAGATATTTTTCAGGTAATATATAATATTAAAGGACTTTTTTTTTTTTTTTTTATAATTATATATATATATTATATGTAAAATATAATATATATCTATATATTTTTTTTAGGATCCTAGTTTTTAGATATTGGTTTATATTGATAATATATTCTAATATATATATTTATTTCTAATATATATTTACTAAATTTTTTTTTTCCTATATTTATTCCTATACCTATATTTATTTATAGTCTGACCAACGCCCTAAGTCGGCCGAAGTAAAAACTCAGAAGAAGAAAAAGCGTGCAACTATCAACATTACTGAAGGTGGGCGATTTTACATTTTCTGGTGACAAATGTGTTTTTATTTTATTCGTTATATAATGTCTTCAAGTATAAATTATTATTTAACTAAATTTTCATGCAATAAATTTTTTTTTTGCATATAGGGATGTCAAAAGCCGATATATTTGCTGCAAATGTGGCTAGCGCCATTGATGCTGCTGATGGTGTGTCTCATTTTGAATTTTTTATATTAAAAAAATATTTATACATATATATATATTATGATTTCTTACTCTTCCTTTTTTTTTCGCTTAAAAAGATTCTGATGAAGAGGAGGTATATTATACTTATAGTACAAGTAATTCTCGTACTCCCTCTTTGACTAGTTTAAATGGCTCGATTCAACCAACCAGGGCCCCCATATCAAATCCAAATCTATTACAAGACAATAATAATATTCCTCAACAATTCCCAATTTCACCTCATAATGTTTACAATGCCTTTTCTGCTCCCTATCGCACATATAACACCTTTCCTCATCGTTCCCATTTCCCTGCCTATTACAATAATAACCCTGAATCAAATAGTCAAAGTCCAAATAGCCAAAGCCCAAATCCTAATAATAAGCCAACCGGTGTAATGCGTTCTTCGTTACCCGATATGTCTCAATATGTAAAAGCTTTACCAAATTATGCCCCCTTATATAATAATTGGTATGTTAATGATGAACGATATCCATTATTTGCCAAAATGCGTCCTCCAACTTTTGAAACGCGTCGGAGGTATTTATTTGTCATTTATTTATTTTATTTATTTTTTTTTCATTTACTATTTCTTTATTTAACATTTTATTTATTATTTTATTTATTATTTTAGACAATCATGTGCTCCAACGATATCTACTCTGACTGTAATAATCATCTTTCTTCTGGCTTCATCTTACTTGTTATATTTTGCATCAACATGTCCTTTAACAGATGTAAATATCAAAGATATAACGAACGTCCTTGCTGCTGACAAGGAATTAATGTTCGATATTCAAGTAAAAGGACGTAATTTCGGTTTATGGGATGTAGAAATTATTGAAACTGATCTAAATGTATTTGCTACTCCTGTGAGGAATGTTCCTGGTGGTGGTATTCCTGGTGGTCCTGGAAGTCATTGGGATGATGATATTAATCCTTCTTCATCTTTTAATGAAGCTGCTCCTAGACAATATTTGGGAACTATACTTGCTTTTGATGAACCTTTAACTTTTCCTTCAGGGATCAATCGTACTGGTGTTGTAAGTACTCCTACTGGACAAGTTAGGTTAAGAAATCCTGGTGGTGAGGATAAAGAAAGTCAAGAAAAATGGTATGTTTCTACAAAATTGTTTTTATATTATAAAAATTTATATTACAAAATTTATATTACAAATTTATATATTATATTATTATATTATATTATAAAATTAATTTAATTTATCATTCTTTAAAAGGTCTTTCCTTCTAAGGCATCAATTTGATCTAACTGTTCGTGGAGTTCTTAAGTATACATTACCTTTTTCAAAGAGCTATGTTGCTAGTGTATGCTTTGCTCAGAGGGTTGATGGTAGTGAAGAATCTCTAGATAAAGATGGTAAAAGTAAGATACTTGATAGTTCAAATATAAATTTGATATTAGGTTGTGGTGATTGGGAACAAGATGATGAAAAGTAAAAAAATTATTAATTGTAAATGTTAGATTTATGGGTTATTTATAAAAAATGTTTTTTTTTTTTCATTTTATGCAATATACTTGTATTATCCTTTGCAAAGTTGTACAGCTTTTTTTTTCATTTTTTTTTCATTTTTGTTTGATTTTTTTTTTTTTTTTTTTTTTTTTTTCCTCCTTTTTTGCAAGGGTTTCTTGTTTTTAAGTAGGTTATTTTAGACAATCGAATAATGCAAATAATATTAAAAATATACACTAGTAAATTAGTAAATTTATTGTGTTATTCTAAAGGATATGAATTTGTGTCATAATATACATATGTTTATTATATAGAATAAGATATACACAACAGTTAATTTCCTTTTTTTTTTTCTTTTTTTTTTTTTTTTTTATAATAGATTACGTTAAATTATATAAACACAAATTTAGATTTTATATAAAAGTATATATATACTTGAAATAAACTTAAGATTCAGAAAGGACCAATTAAAATTAAAATATGCAAGATAAAGTTCATAATGTTATAGTAAATAGTGGTTACATTCTTTCGGAATTTTCAAATAATTTACTATATCAGTCATTATTCATCATAGATATCATCTAGTTACACTTCATACAATACGTACGTATCCAGTTCGTTTGACAATATGTATTTTAATGTTGTAACAAATGTATATTGATTTTGAATTTATTAAACAAAAGGATAATTGCGCATTGATTAGTCAAACTACTATTATATTAAAAGATAAACTGTCCTATAAAAGAATGATAAAACTGACAAGAGTTCGATTTACAAAGTATCAAATATAAGAATCAAAGATGATTGCCATTAATGACGACTATAGGCTGAGGCATCGATTTAAATCGTTCTGATAACGATGACCCGGCATTTTCTTCTAATGAAAAATTTTAAGAGAATTTTTAAGAGAAACACAAAAAAATTTGAGTAAAATTAATAGAGACTAACCCCAAGCGTTCATCCTTCCTGAAGCATTTCCACTAATGATTAGATTAAGATTCGGATGAAACGCATTAACCGCTATCGAAAATAAATAAACAAATCATAAAATTCCAAAGAAATAATTAGGCTTTTACTCCGACCAATCATCTATCATATAATAATAATAATAAAAAAGCCATTATTCCTTACCTGGTATTGCCGTAAGTCTGTCATCACGTAAAGTCCAAATTAATTCACCTTTTACTCCAGAAAATATTTCTGCCGATCTTTGCATGTCTCCGATTATATAGTGTGGATGTACATTTTGGTTCGGATTCCATATTGCACGAAACATAGTAACCCATCTTTTAATAACATAATAACTATATTAATATATTGTTTATATTTTTAGAGAATTGATAAATGCAAACATACCTTCCAGTCCGGTTGTTATGAGGAGTTTGGAATCTTTGTCTTAAGTAAGTTTCCTTGTCAAAGTCATACACTTTCACTGTATCATCAAAGCAAGATATTGCAACTTGGTTACCGTTTGGGCTCCAATAAGCACTAGTTATTGCATTGTTAGTCCTGATTTTTTGAATTTCGATTGATGACTCAGAATTCAATTTACGAATGTCCCAAAGACGCATAGATCTGTCCAAAGAAGCTGTGATAAGATAATGAGGAAGAACTTTATTGATCGAAATACATCCAATTTTATGTTCATGTAGTTCATATTCCGTGAATTTTTCTACTGGTTCACGGATATCTTTTATTCCAAATTTGCCTCCGTTTGTAGAAAAGTAAATTATCTGACCATTAGGATCCATGTCCATACTGGACAATTGACATTCTGGCTCTTTAGTCCCTGAATATATAAAAGCCTCCATAAATTTTGCTTGATTAAAATCAAAAAATCTAATGGATCCATCGTATGAACACGTGTAAAGATGATTAGAATCAGTAGGGGAATACATTGTAGACGATATAGGTGCTGAGTGAGCCTGAAACATGTAGGTCCTAGGTTGATCTTCGTAGTCGTCATCTTCTGATTTGACAGTTTCATTAACGTCCCAAAATCCAAGCCATCCGTCTCTATCACCAGCAGCAGCCAGCACCTTTTCCTTAGCAGGATGAACAGCAATACTGTATATTCTTTCTGGAGTGACTTTAACGCTTGCCCATTGCGTTCTAATGGCGAGCGAACGATAAGCCCTTTGAGCTGTTTTAAAACCATCCGCTCCTCCTGCAATACTACTATAGTCAATATCATCAGAGATAGTACTTTCATCATCAGAGAACCTTTTCATTTTAGATAAAAGATCAACAAAATAATTGGTATCATCGATAGATGTCATATCTGATCGAACAGTATTTAAATCAAGATCACCCATCAATCTAACGCGTTTTTCTCTTTCACGTCGTTTTTCGACTTTTTCAGCTTCTCTTTTAGCATCAGCCCCGTCAGGTGTGAAACCGCGTAAACGTAAAGATTGACGTGTAGGCTGACTTGGCTTTTTGTCTTGAAGTTGCTTTTTTGGTTTTGGTCTTGATTTTGGTTTTAGTTTATATTTTACAGAACGAGAAAGTTCTGGAATATTTAGCTGTCTAAGAATTTCTTCATTGCGACGAATATTTTCAAGTCGTTGTCTTTCGCTTAAAATAAAAAAGAACGTATATAAATCAGCCTCTTTTTTCAAAAAAAAAATAAAAAACACGACGCGTACTTACTATTCGTTTAGTATCGAGCCTTCTCCAATCTTCATATTTTTCTGTATTTTTTTTAAGATCACATAATCACGTCATTAAATTTCGAATCCTATTTATTTGAAAGTTTGCTGATGCGATAGATACTAGATACGAATCTAGGTAAAAAATTTGTAGATCATGAGATCGTAGGAAAAAAAATATATATATAAGAACATGCAGTTTCTCACTTGTATTCTTTGTCACTGTATATCGAATCAAAAAAAATAAAAATAAAAAAAGCAATGGAGAAATTTGATAAAGCAAATTATTTTTACTTTATACCACCAGAAGGCAAGGTTTAAAAATACAAAATTTACGAAGCATATCTTAAAACTGGGCTTTAACTTACCTTTTTTGTTCCTGTGAACGCTCAAGTTAATCAAAAAGAGTCACAGAGTTCTGAATACATGGATATACCCGAACGAGAAAACTCACCGCTAAGAACTGAATGGCTGGAATCTAACAACAAAGCAGGCCTTCTAAATAAATATTATAAAAGCTATGTCCGGCCATTTAAAGAAAAGGGAGAAAAGAGCACAGAAATGGATTTTTATACTTCTATTGAAGATCCTGGTAAATAAGTTAAATGTTACTAGATGAAACATAACACAGAAATACTATCGGAAATTATTGAACCATTTTATTGGGACATCCACCAGTACGGAAACAAAGAATATATCCAAGTTATCAATTTAGAGATGTCATTGCTAAACAACGAACGTGGAACGTAAAATATCCTCGCGAAACGTATCCTCTTGACCCTAAAGCATATGATGGATTTTTAGATACATTTAGTAAAGGATCAATTGCTGATGTAAGTATTAAATACAGAAATTTGAATTTTTAAATGAATTAATTTTGTATAAGAAAAAGGATACTATATTATCATTACAGTTTAATCCAGAAGATTACGGTTTGGTAGCGTCAAATATGATTATAACAAAATCTACAGGTACTAATGATCAAGAAACTCGAATATTACCTGGTATTTGTTTTTTATTTATTTGAAAATAATTTTCATTTGACTTATTACGTTTATTGTTATTATGTTTATTATTATTACGTTTATTGTTTTATGTTTATTGTTATTAATTTTTACATTTTCGTAATATTCATTTATTGCTACGTTTCAGAGAATACAGATCGTCAGTTGATAAATGGTAGTGAAAGGTCACACGAAAAGAAAAAGGTTTAGATAAAATTTGTTTAATTAATTATGAGAATTATTTGACATTATTTTAGACAATGTTATATATTAAGATACATATTTTTTTAAAATATTAGAAGAAAAAACACAAGCATGATTCAGAGCATAAAGAAAAGAAACAAAAACATAAAAAGGAACACAAAAAAGATAAAGATGGTGAACATAAAAAAAAGAAAAGAAAAAAGGTTTGTATTTATTTAAGTACCGTTTGTTTGAATTCTTTTTTTTTTATTTACCGGCCGAGAAACGTCTACTGGTACATTTTTTGTTCACTATGTATAATAATTCAGGAGAAAGAGGAGCATCAAATGATTTTCTAATCTTATAGCCTTAATTCTGAACAATTCCGAATCACATCTAACCTGACTTTTCGCGTCATTCATTGCTTATTTATGAGATTGCCTTCGTGAGACTTGTCCATTTTGAGAGATTTTAATTTACCCTTTTTTTTTTTTTTTTTTTTTTTTTGCAATTTTAAGAGGTGGGAAGTTCATTATGATATGCTTGTGATTCAATTAATATATATCTTTTTGTACATACATAGATAATCTAATAAATATAGACTGTATACTGCAATCTATAGGAAGATTGCATATTAATTTCTTGATTAAATTTTATATTGCGAATTTGTAAATAAATAGGATCTAAATCATAATGACTAAAAAAGAAACTAGTGAATTTTTAAAATGTATAGTAATACGTAGTAAAGATGTGTACAGTATATAGCATTTCTCATGTGATTATAGTTATTACAGATGTGTATATAAAATTATGTAATTCCAGATTCTTATCTGTTAAGTAATTAATAAGCTTGGAGTATCAAGATTTTAAAAATTATTATTAACAGTTTCTACAGTCAATTCTTAAAATGTGCACTAATGAAGGATAGGATTGTAAAATTACTGCAATTTGCGTAATTTATGTAATTTTATGTAATTTTGTAATTTTTAAGCAAAAGTGTTATGGATCGTCTTCTCCTTCACCTTGAAAATGATTTTATAGGACATATAGTTATTACTAAATCCCGTAAGACTCAAATGTAGTTTCTGAGATCAAATCAAAATGATGCAACAATACTGGCCGAGCTTATGTAAAGCCGGTACCCCTAAATAATGTGGTTACATGAAGTCCGATTTACTGAAACTTTCGTAAAAATTACATAAAACTGGAATATCGAACTTGCAGGTTCCAGTTGCAATGTATAACGATAAGTTCGATTCCAATTCAAGTTACTGGGATTTATTCTGTAAGTTATTCATTCCTCGACAACAATTTCCGAGGACTAGTACGACTTGAGTTAGGCTATAGTTAGGTTGTTTTGAATTAAAAGTCTACCGTGAAACGGGGTAAAATTAAGGTTGTGTTACGAAAAGAATTTCTCACGTTTAGAGTTATGAAATTACCGTAAATTTGCATAACGATAATGCAATTTTGAACACATGATATTTAGTTTCTGAGATAAAAAAATCGATATGTGCGGCGGATTTTATTCAAATTTATTATAATTACGAATTTCACGTAATACTAAATACCAGTATCGTAAATTTAAAAATGAGTAACACTACGGTTCCTCTGGAATTATTCCGATACTATATAGTTATTGGATGCGAAGCAGCCAATAACTCGAATTATTTGTAAAATAATTCATTAGGAGTTATTGGCTAGCG